TTCATTTCATCCTTTCAATAACCATAGATGTTGGAAAGTATTATTTCCTTTTTAGTGGGGGAAAAAACTAAGGCTGGAAAGTTTAAGCAATTTGTCTGTAACGGAGAAAAAATTAGCTCTGAGAATATCAGTTTGCACTGTAGAGCTCACATAAATGAAAGGCCACGACAATCAATCCCCAGAATCCTAAAGAGTATAGTTCTTGTGCCTCTTCTACATTTCAACAGAAAGTGAAAAATGCAGCAAGTCCTTATGGAAATTTCAGTGATGGACTCTTGCTGTCCAATTTCTAAATGGTCCCGTTTCTCTTTTCAAACCCAGCGGTGAATGTTAAGTGCTCATCCTAGACGGGTGTGGATCACACTGCACCACCCTCCTCTCTTGAATGAACTCCACGTTAAGATGACACGGAAGCAGTTATCACTCTAGTGTCAACAGGGGCATGCCAGAGGATCCCAGGTTTTAGCAGAAGCTAAAAGGGGGGACTGGAATTGCTATGCTTGTGAGTTCTCTCGGGTGGGTAACTTTCATTCCCATCAAATTAGTAAGAGACAAAAAATTTATCAAGAAGTGTGTCGTAATTTCATAGACTGACAGATGGAGGCGTGTAGCAATACATCTTTTATTACTTCCCTTGACAGCTACAGATTGCATGCTGAGTTTAACTGGGCTGATACATACATTCTGCAGGTGCACTGTAGAGAGAAAAATTGGGGAATATTTTCTGGTTATCATAGAAATAAAGTACCTAGATGAGGAAAGAAATTTCCTGGTAGTCCAAAGACTGTTTCTCCCCACTGCTCCAAATACTCTCTCTAGTAACATAATCCTAACAGGCATTTTAAGGCCTGGCAGATTTATGTTCAAACATGGATAGGCCTGTCTGCATTACAGGTCTCTCTTCTGTTGGGTTTATAAAATGGTTTGTAATCAGTGATTTTACAAATAAGGGAATGTGATGTTCTGTTCTAAAGTAGCAGGCTTCATAAGGGACTATATTTACACCAGACATAAATAAATCGCTTGGGATGATTAAAATTGATATTCTAAAATTGATTTTCATAGTTTAAAAAAAAAGAAATTGCCCTTCCAACAGCTCCAGTTGGCAGGGACCTGTAGCTTAGAGAGGCAAGTTCATTGCTAGCTGTCACAGACATCACAGTGCATTTGATGAAAGAACCTTCCCAGAGGCAATCACACCTGATAAGCACATGGTGTGGATTAGAGAGCTTTCAGACAACCAGAAGAAAAAATCATTTTCTACCTCCAGTTTCTGATGCCACAGATATATCATCTAACGAAAACAAGAGTTCTCTGAGGAATATGGAATGTATGTAATGTTTCCACCAAATAATTTTTCTGCCTTGATCTATAAGAAACTGAGACGAAACAGACCTAATTGCATTTTTTTATCTCCTAATGAAACTTCCTATTTGGGTGCCCACTTCAAGAAGACAGTTCTGATGTAGATGAATATCAAAGTGCAAGTTGGGTGATAGTGGCAATTAAAACACATGGCCTAAAAAATGATGTGTGATATCACATATGGGAATAAATATAATTTATATATGAACATCTTCATAACATAATTATACACATAAATTATATCTTAAAATTTAGTATCACATTCTCACATTTTTAGCCTAGTTTTCATCCTGCAAAGGTATCTAATATTATGTAATAATTTGATTGGACCATGGGGTCACCATTATTTGATCAAACATTCTGGTGAGGCTGTAAGGTTGTTTCCAACAGAACTTAATACTTGCATTGGGGGCCTCCCTGGTGACGCCGGGGCTAAAGACAGCGCTATTAAGCTATCGCCAGCTACTGCGGCACGAGTTCGATCCCCAGCCAGCCAGGGAGCAACCCACAAGGCACAGCAGATGTCTCCTGCCTTGCCTGCTGCTCCCCTCAGCAGTGTATTTCAAGTAGATCTGCCTGTTCTGCACCCCACTCTCTCTGGTGAATCCTCTCACACACACCCTCTCCCCCGCACCTCTGGCTTACACTCCAGTTCTTGTATGCATAAATAAATAAATCTTTAAAAAATATATACTTGCACTGGTAAACTAAGTAAAGCATGTCACCCAAGGATTTCAGTTTGTGAATGGCAATGTCAATGGAGTAAATGGAGCTCCAGTTAGATTTCTGCAAAGAAACATAACTGAACTTTTGGGCTCATGATCAAGTCCAGAAATTTTTGATTTGTCTAAATTCATTTGCTTATATATCTTTCAAATTAGGTGATTTTTTGTTTATACACTTGTCCTTCTTAAAAGCAGAGATATATGCAAAACAAAGCTGACAGAATCAATATTTCTTTGGCCCTATGACAACAAAATTCTAGAAATATTTATAAGCAATCTCATGAGATTATATTTAATTATCAATTGCATAAAATGCATAATTATTACTATTAAAAAGTCACTTAAGAAACATCTTCCCAGGTACCAAAAATAAAACCCAAAACATCAGCAGACTCCAGACTAGGCAGAAGCTACATTATTGAGGCCTGGCATTCCAATTTGGTACTTCCCTTAAATACAGAAGGGATAACACAGTGACCAGTACACAACCTGCTCTCAGTTACAAGATTGATTTCAGAAGTCCTTCTGTGGCAAGTGCTCTTCTTATGAAACATCCTCTAAAAAAGCAAAACACATTCTCTCGTTCCTCTGAATAAGCTCCAAGGTGTTCACTGAGGGAACAGCAGAAGGAGACTGACAGACAAGTATGCATGCACGCGCATCACATTTCAGACCAAGGTGATGAAACTCAACATCACAGGCTTTTTCCTGCGCAATTTTTGTTAGTCCCATATGAGGCATAGGCAGGTCACAGACATCACTGTAAGGTTGGATTAATAAAAGCCATATTCTCTGGTTAAGCATACATAAAGAAAAAGGTAGTAAAGGAATTGAACTATTCTAATACTTTATCAGAAAAGAAAAGGCAAATTCACATTTTATGTTTTCTGGTCACATACACACTTTTCATTTAATAAAAATAATTTGGGAAGATGAGCTTAGAATCACCTGGCTACTTTTTTTTTCTTTTCTTTTATATATTTTTACATCATTTTTCATTTTTGCACAATGTATGCATTTTCATCTTGGTTATAGTCCTCATACAATTCCCATTCCCCTTATTTTGAGAAGAAATCCCCTCACCCCCCCCCACCGCCAGTGTGTCTCTGTCTCTGGTTTAGAATGAACAACAAGGAGTCACCTAGAAAACAATAGGTCTTTGTGGTGGGAAAACAGCATATCAGAATCAAATATTAAGTAAAATGGGTTACTTCAAAAGCCAACAAAAGATTTTAAAAGGATCAGGGGGTTTAGCTTTACACAAAGTAAACTAGGGAGCAGGTATCCCAGGAACATACCACAATATCCTCAGGGAACGTGTCTCTGCTGAAGGAGCCATCATCAAAGACAACCTCATAGAAGGTCTGCGAGGTCACGGCGATCACTCTGCAGCTGTAATAGCGGGTGTTCCGGTGCTTTGTGATGACTGTCTGTCCCACAGAGATGCCCTTCTCACCAGTCTTGGACTTCTGAAGAACAGGCAGAGAAAGAAGAGGGAAAAGAAAACAGAAGAAAGAGAAAAGGAAAGGACAGACAATAAAGGAAAAGGAAACAATCACTGATTTGGTCACGATAATTTTTTAACTTTTTATTGGGGAACAATGTCAAATTTAAATAATTACAGGAATGTGAATATGATTAGTACAATATCTAGATTCACCTGTTGCTATTGTTAACATTTTACCATTTCCTCTTTTGCATCTTCTGTTTCTGTTTTAATACATGTAAGTATACATATAAACACAAATACAAATTGTGTGTGTGCATATACATACATATTGAGAGATATATACAACCCCCACGCCAGACATTTTAGAAAAAGCTATAAACAAGTTAGGATTTTGCTCCTACATGTGACAGTTACGTATTTTCTAATAGGGATTCTCTTCTACATAACCACAGCACAGATACTAACTTTAGTAAATGTAACACTGATGTAATACTTAATCTAACATGTATATTTCAATTTTGTCATTTTAATTAATGATGAGCTCTATTGGCATCTCCCTCCCTTGCTCTTAAGTACAGGATCCAGTCTAGAGTCAGGTACTGCCTTTAGTTTCCACATCACTTTAGACTCCTTTAACTTGGAACATTTCCACAGTCTTTTTTTTTTTTTTTAAACATTTTTCTCATGCTCTTTTTTAATTTGCAGGTTCTACTTAAAACACAGTGTCTCTCTTTCTAGTTAGCATACATTTGCCAGTCTATATACTGTTCTCATCGGTTTGTTTGGAAAGTGTTTTCCTATTTTAATTAATTTTAATATTTCAATCATTCTAACAATTTCATTTCTGTGGAGGATCTATAACTCTTCCTCTGTCTAAACCTTCATTCTTTTCTTATATATATCAGGGATACTGAGTAGGGCTAACTATCACATAAAGACAATAGGTCAAATTATATGAAATAACATTCTTTTTTTTTTTTATAAATTTTATTGTTATATTCCCCATACAATTGCAGCCCCCCCATTCTGACCCCAATCCCTCCCCTCCCGCCCCCGCCCCCCATTTCCACAGTCTTTGTTTTCTATGATCATGCTACTTTTACAGGACACAGTCTTCCCTTCCCCTGCTTTTTAATACAAGGCTGAAACACCTTGTAAGAGACAACATGCTACACTGAAAAAACAAAAGAAGACACACCCAGAGTGTCATTAATTCACTCATTTCTTCAACAGTCATTTGTTGCTAACTAGTGGCCACCTGGCATCTCCCCTGATGCCGGGACTCAAACAAAAATCACCACACTGAGTTCCAGTTCCCTGGAATGGGCTCATAGAAGCATGTGCCATGATGACCTCTTATTGGTGGTATGATAGAAGAATAGTGGGAAAAATTCTAGCATGCCATCTACAGCATGACTTCATAATCATAGGTAGAATTCAGGGAGGAGAACAATGAAGCCATTCTGGTCTTTGATCTGCTGAGTTCTTGCTGTTGTGTGCAAAGAAAGGGAGGTGGCAGGAGAAGACAGTAGAAATAAATAGCCTAGAGCCCAGATATGGGTGTCTGCTAATCCTAAGCAGCCGGTTCGACCACCATTTTGTCACCTATGGCTGTATTCCTAAGCAAGGTCAGAACTGCCTGGTCAATTATATTTAGGAGCCCAACCCAGCAAGGTGCCTTTCAAATCAATCAGGAACACAAAGCTGGATCATTCTGGGAAGGCTGAGCATCACAAGGTATGACTGGGAATGCCCGGGGGGAACGAGGACCCATGTATAACAAGGGACCCCAGAAGCTGATCATTGCAACAACCTGTTGATAAGATTGAAACCATGGGAACTAAGGCTTGATCTCAATTACAATACCAAGTCATCAAGCAGATGAGCAGTGCCCAGAGAACAGACTCTCAATCCCTAATATTATAGATGACAGCACATTTTCTAGTAACACCTTTTCCTTTTTGCCTCCTTCCCCTTACAACTGATGCTGTATGACTGTTTTATCAATAAAAAGGCCAGGATCTTGCTCTTCAGTAGCATCCTGCATTGTGCAGCCTGCTCCACGACTCCCATTCACCAGTGTGGTGTTGCGTCACCATACCTTCTATTATCCCAATAGAAGGGATAATACAGCCCAGAGATCAAGCAATGGGGGAAGGATGAAAAGGGTGGTTCTTCGTCATGCTAAGGATTCTGGACACTGTGAGCATAAGGAAACCACTGAGAGACTAAGTACAGAAGAAAAATGATCCATATCTGTATGGCAACAGGAGGAGAAAGGGCTATAAATGCCCAGATAGGAGATGAGACCCTGGAGTAGGGAACTAAGGCCAAAGATGCTCATGATTTGAACGAGGGAATTTCTTCCCAACAAATGCTGAGTGAGATCTCTGCTATTCAGCTTCTCACAAACCTAACAAAACAAAAAGATAATTTCCTCCATGAGATTATTTTCCAGTGTTTCCTGGGATGGTCTTTAGAAAAATATGACTAGGTGCGTAAACATTTTGTCAAAGAATATCAACAAGAAGCCTATAGTGATTTAAATGCATTATGTTGAAGTAGGAATCTTGAAGATTTAGGGGATAGTATGTTGCATAGGGGATAGTATTGTTACAGGGCAACCCCGATATAAAACAGGTTGCCTGACTGTGGGTCCTCACCCGCGCACTTAAAAGGGACTTATTAATACTTAACTGCAGGCACACACACAAAAGGTTAATAAAAGGTTTATTTACAAAGGAAGGGGAAATGAGGAAATGTACAACACAGGGAGAAAAGAGGGACATAAAGTCTTAAATGTATCCTACCAGTTCCGCTGAACTGGAATCCCAAATGGCATGCTGATGAGAGCTGGCGGTGAGCCAAGAGCTGTGAAGCCAAGAAGCGAGAGACCCCCAAGACCCACGTGTCTGATTTTATACCAAACCTGGCTGCTTAACTCCACCCTCAGGTCCCAGCAACCTTCCCTTTGGTGGTGATGGGATTTGTCTTTCCCAATGTCTTGATGGCTTTGGTCTGGAGTGGGGGTGGCATCCACAAAGCCTGTATGGAATTGGCTCAGCACATCGTTTCCCCCTAACAGTATGTTGCATGTACTGAAATAATTAACTTGGTTTCCTACTTCATTTGACGGCCCAACTCCTTTAAATAGGTCTACATTTTCAAAGTAAATTTTCTAGATTTTCAAAGAGAACAGCTTAACCATAATAATACATACAAGTGAAGTCACAGGCTGCAGAGTTTTGTAACTCCAAAACTGGGCCCATAGCTACTAATTGGGAATGTATAGGTTCTAACTAATTCTAGGAGGTGATATTCAGGACCTGTGAATTCAGGCCACACACAGTAACTCTGGGTGACTTGAATTAGGGCCAAACATGGTTTCTTTTTGGCAGCACTCTTTTGTAGCTATTATCCCTCTCTATCAAAATGACTTCAAAACACTCAGTCGAATTGCAAGTACTGTATTTTACCATGATAATATGTGCATGTATTGGAATTTTTTTTTTTTTTTTTGTGGGACCCTCGCCGGTGGCCGGGGATCGAACTGGCGCTGCAGAGGCCGCAGGCAGCCTCGCAACCCAGCGCTCAACCACTGAGCCACCAGGGGAGGCCCACGTATTGGAATTTACCCTCTAAGGAGACAGTGTAGTTTGGGTTTGAATTCTAACCTCTGCTCCTTACTTGTTGAGTGATCTTGGGAATATTAGTTAACCTTTACCAGTATCAGTGTGCTCAACAATAGAAGGGATAATACCACCTTAAAGATCTGCTGTAAATAGGATAAGTATATAAAATAGCAAGACTCAAGGGCAGCTAGATTCAGCAAATGTCAACTGGCGTTATTTTAGGAAATGGAGAACATATCTGAGGGTCTAAGCTCAAATTCATCAACCACTCTTCATTATTGTACCCCAGTACCTAGCATGTATGGCTAGGTAGTATCTTGCTCAATCTAGCTCTAACTCATCACTGGCCTGCTCTTCCTCATCCACTTCTGACTCCAACTCATCAAGCATGAGTATACAGAGGGTATGGTCCTGAAGAAGAAAAGCATAACGTGGTCTCTTTCCTCCAACCCAACACTCCCAAACTCTTTGTTTACAATTCTCATAAAGTCCTGGTCAAATGTCACAGTCATTTGCTGTCCCTCCTATTATAGGGAAAAATCCCAAGGGTCAGCACCAGGACCTATTTGTCTTTTTATCCACAGCACCAAGCTTGGTGTATACAACACTGTAGCTGTCAGATGAATAATGAATTAATGAATGAGTAAATGAACTCAAGATAAAATGAATGGATGAGTAACTGTGAAGAAGACAGACACCATTTTCAAAATGGTAAAAGACTGAGTTTATTCATACACTGTCCAGAAAAGGAAAAGAGAAACAGAAAAAAAAATTTAGGAAGTTACTGTCTTTCATGCTGTGGGGAGATATATACAAGGGTAGGAAGAGGAAATAAAAGAAGTGTTGGGTAAAATTCATAGGGTCTGGAAAGTAGAACCAGACAGTTAATGAAAACAAAAAGTGATACAGACTGATAAGAAAAAAGTTGACTCTAGTCCACAACCATTTTTTTTCTGCATGAAATTTATGCAAATTGGCTGGTTAGAAAGATGGCCAGCACACAAATTAAATATACAGCCTTCATTTAAATAAAAGTTTTCACAAGCTTCAAGCATGACTATTTCATGAAGAATGGTAAAGAAAACAGATTTTTTTCATAATGCCATTTTGATAGGATTTTTGATTTATTTTTGCAAGAAAAATTCATTGACAAGCATACCCCATAACTGATTATACATTCTCAAAAATATTTCCTGCCAGAAAAGCCTAAGAATATACTGATGCTAAGAATGTCATTTCTGATTAGAGAAATCAGACATTATGCAAGGGGCTCCATCAGATTAAAGAAATGGCTACGGTATTTTGAAGATTAGTGTACAGGCTGAGGTGAAATTCAAAATTTCCTTTAACATGCACTAAGCAGAAATGAACAGCAGTTTTAAAAACAAACATGACTTATTTTAAAGGAAAGCTAGAGCCAGTTTGAGATGTTGGGAATGTGGGGGGAAAATTTAAATAAGAAAATATTATAGAAATTCCACAAGAACATCAAAGGGCTCTTGGGAACCAGTAATGCATATTCCAGAGCTCTCAAACAAGTCCACATATCTGGGTTAATTAAATTCTTCCAATAACTCTGTGAGATAATTGCTGTTTTTATTAAGTACATGCAGTAAGTAACTTTTCCAAGAATTCAGAGCTGGTAAGGGGCAGAGGTAGAACCCAGAAGTAGGGAATCAGGGCAGTGCTACACAAGTAGGAGAATAAACATGGAAAGAAGTCAAACTATCACTATTTGCAGACGATATGATATTATACATAGAGAACCCCAAAAACTCCACAGAAAAGCTAGTTCAACTCATCAATCAGTTCAGTAAAGTGGCAGGATACAAAATCAACATGCAAAAGTCAGTAGCCTTCCTATACACAAACAATAAATCTGAAGAAGAAGAAATCAAAAAAACCATCCCTTTTGTTATTGAAACAAAAAAAATCAAATATTTGGGAATAAATCTAACAAAAGAGATAAAGGACCTATACAAAGAAAACTATAAAACACTGTTAAAAGAAATAGAAGAAGACACAAAGAAATGGAGAGACATCCCCTGCTCGTGGATTGGAAGAATAAACATTATTAAAATGGCCATCCTTCCAAAAGCAATATACAGATTCAATGCTATTCCAATCAAAATTTCAATGTCATTCTTCAAAGAAATAGAACAATTATTGATGAAATTCATATGGAATCACAAAAAACCCCGAATAGCCAAAGCTCTCCTGAAAAAAAAAGAAGGGAATGGAGGCATTACACTCCCAGACTTCAAACTATACTACAAAGCCATAATCATCAAAACTGCATGGTATTGGAACAAGAACAGACATACAGACCAATGGAATCGAATAGAAAATCCAGAAATAAATCCACAGATTTATGGTCAACTAATCTTTGACAAAGGAGCAAAGACTATGCATTGGAGCAAAGAAAGTTTGTTCAATAAATGGTGCTGGGAAAACTGGGTCGCTACATGCAAAAGAATGAAGCTTGACCACTACCTCACACCATACACAAAAATCAACTCAAAATGGATTAAAGAACTAGACATAAGACCTGAAACCATAAAATATATAGAAGGAAATATAGGCGAAACACTACGTGATCTGCACATCAAAGACATCTTTACAGACACATCACCCAAAGCAGTGATAGTGAAGGCAAAGATAAACAGCTGGGACTACATCAAATTAAAGAGCTTCTGCACAGCAAAAGAGACAATAACAAAAACAAAGAGAAACCCCACCAACTGGGAGAACATTTTTGCACCCAACACTAATGATAAAGGACTGATCACAAAAATCTGCAAAGAGCTGATGAGACTCAGCAACAACAAAGAAAATAATCCAGTCAAAAATGGGCAGAAGAGCTAAAAAGAAACTTCTCTGAAGAGGAAATGCAAATGGCCAACAGGCATATGAAAAAATGTTCAACATCACTTGCCATCAGGGAAATGCAAATCAAAACTACCATGAGATACCATCTTACACCAGTGAGAATGGCACATATTAAAAAAACTAGCAACAACAAATGCTGGCGAGGGTGTGGAGAAAAAGGAACTCTTCTGCACTGTTGGTGGGAGTGCAAACTGGTCCAACCACTGTGGAGAGCTG